ACATAATCTACTTGTCACTGAGTAATTATTAATTCTTGCAGAGTTTACCAATGAATGGAGAAGTGCTCTTTTATGACGGTGCTGAGTTAAGTTTCAGTGAAGAGGTATCAACTGATTGTGAAGGTGAATATCCATTGGAAATGAAATAACTATAGACAAAACTAGAAACAACAACCTGAAAGGATGTTTGTCACCATGGAAAACAGTCCCCTGAAGCTCAGTGGTGGAGCATCGCAAGTACTGATCAAAGGTTGTAGGTTCAGCCCCTGTTGGAAAATTCTTGTGGTTGACATCAACTAAATGTTTTGACAACCTGAGCAGAGGTTATTCATCAGATTTTGGTGTAATCTAGTCTAGTCAGATGGTCTAGTCTAGTCAGCATGACTATACCAGGTGATCTAGTTTTTATTATAGGGAATAATTATTCAAGTTTCAAGTTTACTGCACAATGTTGCTTATTGAATCTAGCCAGTTACAATATTATATCTTCTTAATGCTATACTTACCTCTTTACACTCTAAGATCGATACATATATTTTCTATACTGTTCTTCATTTGTTTCTTATGGTAATGACAAAGAGAATCTGTTTGACGATCATAGGCTTCTTTAGATGGGGATCATTTCCTTTATTCATGTTACCTTAATGTATGATATTATAAGGAGAAACTAAAAACCAGCTACTCTTAGGGGAGTGAAGAAGTGATTAACATGTAACCTCTCCCCAAATTATCCCCACATTATCCCAACTTACAGGTAATAAGAATACACTAATAAATCAGGCAAAAGATGTTATCTTGATCTAACAACAAATTCTCATAACCAATTAACAAGGTAATGTCTAGTAGCAAGAGGGGAGAATTGACAATCAGATCATGGGAGTTAAAGGGTTAAAGGGTTAAGTGACTAGTTTTCACACAGCAGAGTCAAAACATAATTTGAGTGTGCCTTTCCTTTTTATCATTCTCTCTCTCAGAATATGAGCCTGCTAAAGACTGAAAGGAATTGTGATTGATATTGAGCACCATTTTATTTCCTTTGATAATCAGTGGTTCAAACTTAATTACGTAAATAAATGTTGAAACCTTTTTGCTTTGAAGATCCTGGTGACATTCACTTTGTAGCATCCATCCAAAACTGGTTTAACCCTTACAACTGGCAACAGATAGGAGTCAACAAAGAGCCATTCAGGTCATCCCCAGTCTCCATCCTTCAAACAGACAACGTGCCTTGTGTACATGACACTGTTGTCTTTCCACAGGTGATTCAAATATAAAATAACTTTCAAATCTATGTTGATTAAAAAGATTGAGGTGAGCTGCTAACATATAAGTCAAATGCTTTGTGATGCCATGGAAACCTCTAAGGTAGTCCTGCTGGAAAACACTTATTTTCATGAAAAGTGGTTTTCAACAGGGAAGCCCTTAGCTATGAAGTTACAGACAAGAATGGATGAAGTCCTAGATATTTTATGTCTCTGGAGTATGTATAAGAGGAAGGCAAGCTCTAAATACTTTTACATGTGGTAATTTTAGATTATACTTGTAAGCTCTAACAACCAACGAAAGATGAACTGTTCTTTGGTTTTCTTTGTAGGCCAGCTCCTTTATGGTCAAGTCTGTTTTGCCTGTCAGGGTAGCAGCTGTTGAACTGCTTGGGGAGGTTTGTTTTTGCCTCCAAATTACTGACTCTGTAGTTATCTTTGTGTGGCTTTTGTAATTTAATCTCTTTACTTTTGATTGAAAATTTTTCAAATAAGTGCAAAAATACCTTCAACCCTTTGCATCATAGCATCAATATGCTTATTCTCCATACTGTTCTTATGGATTTCCTAAGACGCTGACAAGGAGAATCAAGAGCCCACTCTTCCTTTTTGCTATTTGCTGCTGTCATTACTGTTTCCATTCTGACTGATTTATATTTTTTTTTCCAGGCACAAAATTCCATAAGTTTTAAGGATTTCTGTAACAGTGCATCTGGAAGCATGCAGTTCAACTTTATTGGTCCAACTAATATCACAGCAGTGCAGTGTGATGACAGGACTGGCTGTGCATGTGGATATTGGAAGGTACTGTCTACAACAATCAAACAGGCTCATTGAAATTGAGACTCAAACTGTGATTGTAGTTCTCATTTTAAGTCAAAATGATTTTCACCTTTTAATAAAAAATTTTGAAACACCTTTTAACCCAAGTAATTGATCATTGCAACATTTAACAATAAAAATTATTATTCATTGAAGTGGAGTTGAAGAGAGTTGGATATTTGCTGAGGCTTGAAGCCTTGAGGTAAATATCCACTACTTTCACAAACACTTCTTCAAGGTGAATATTTATTTTATAATATACCAAATGGAAACCATAAAATTATTATATTTCTGTCAGTGTACCAAAAAATGTGCTTATTTTGTCTCTTTAGCTGCTGAGGGTTGAATAGTTCTTGCCTATTACATGTATATATGAACTAGCCAATCAGTGTATGCAGAAAGTACATACCTGTCACCTGTGTGGTATATACTGAATAATAAGTTTTTATTCTTTCTGTGAATCATACTTTAATAAGCTGTCTTGGAGCTGAATCATTGATTTTTAGGCCTCTTGAGGAAGGGAAGGAGGGCTTAACTAGGGTTGGACTGCTTCTAGAGAGTTCAGCTTTGTAAAAATCAGTCCAATAATTATTTCTTCTAAATCATCAACTGGCTTATTTGTTTTGGTGAACAGTTTGCTGAAACCATCTGTAGCCATGTGAAATGTGAGGAGCCTATTTGTACAGGTGCTTTTAGACCAGAAGGAAGCTGTTGTGATGTCTGTGGTTAGTTGCCCTTTTTTATAGAAAAGTCAAGAATTAGGAATTAACAATGGCTTTCTCAATTTGGGAGAAAGTGCTGTTTCAGTCCACCTGTAAGAAATTAACCCCAGAGTAAATGCATTGGCATATGTATCCACTTATGGAACAATAAGTTGTGGTTTGTCGTGTTAACATTTCAGGAGTGGAAAAGCACATTTTGCAACATTGTAAGAACTCTCTGTGAATTTTATTTTATGAATAGGAACTTTGCTCAGACTAAGTTTGGAGCAAGACTTCACAATGAATGATTTCAAACATCGGCTGGCAAATTTCTCTCAGACTGTAAGTTGTACATTTACTGATATGTTTGTTTTTAAAATTTTTACCATCATGACACTGCTGTTGTCATAATGTTCTCTTTTATCACTCTTCCTAAAATTAAATGGATGGAAAGCTCATTTGACAAACAACCATCTTCACACAATTCCTATCAGAGGTCAGCTCAATTGTCATCAGGCTTCTTGTCAAAAGCCTCGGTGAATTCTGGAGCTCATTAACTTTACCCTTTAACTCCCAGATCAAATTTGTAATTCTCGATACTGTCAACCATACAATTTTTATAATGTTAGTTCAGTGAATTTAGTATTGGATCAACAAATTATCCCCAAATTGATATTTTTCTTTATTCTCATCACTTATGTGGTTGATATTGTATTGATATCGTAAGGAGAAATTCTCTTTTGGTCACTCATGGGAGTTAAAGGGTTAAGGTAATAACTTTGCAATGCACATTGTACATTTTTGAGTGATGGACAACCTCTCTTTGAGTCATGACTTGCAAGAAATTTTCTGTGGAACACATGGATTTGAGAATGTTATCAGTTAATTAATGTGATGTTGTAGTTTGTGTATCAACGTCAGTATGTGAGTGACTGCTCAACTACCCCTCCCCAAACCCAACAATCAACTGATAACAAGTGAAGGTTAATGTTTGGTCAGGGGAGGGGTAGGTAGATAGTTGCTCAGATGCTAACATGCATACTAGTTTGTTGTGTTTACATCAGATTAATGAAGAATCACCTTCTGCAACATTGTAAATAATCATTCCCTCAAGTAAATCATTGAGATTCTTCCAATGTTGCAATGTATTGGATACATAAGTAGCAGCAGATTTCTTGTTGTTTCATCCCAAATCTTTGTTGAAGTGTAACTGAATAATCCTAGTACAACAATAATGGTATATTTTTCTCATCCATAAGGAATATGAAGGAGTAAGTGTTGCAACTTCCAAAACAGAATCAAACTTTGTCCAAGTTTTGTTAATAGATCAGGAGGGTGGTAAGTGATGTGTGTGACCATATAATCTTTGCTTGCTGTCTTAAATTTTTGTCATGGCTTTCAAAGGAAAAAATGAACAAATTTACACACTGTTACAAAATTGATATCACCAGTTTGCCACCAATATGCAGCTGGCAGTAAGAACTGTAAGCTTTATCAATTCTTCAAGTTCAACTGTCTCTATAACACATCTGTCATATCTGTAAGCAATGTAATGACAACTTCACTTAGGTAAAGAACCATGATTTGCCATACAAGTGACCCTAGTGCTGTTAAAAGTTATTGCCATCCACTCATGAACTAATTTTCTACAACAATTGTGGGTTTGGAATTTGTTTTATCTTCTTGAATTTTTTCTCTCAGCTATCTCCCTTTTTTGTAATAGGCAATGGAGCACAGAAGGCTGCTGAACAACTCAAGGAAGTCTTGATTTCAGGTGGAAGTTCATTCATTTTCATTTTGACTTTGCATGAACAACATGTTGTGGATAGCTTTTTTATTGGGTGATAATGAAAAAATTGTGCCGAAATTCCTATTTAGAGGAGATTTTCTTTTCCTCACCCTTTTCCCTTTCTCTCTCCCTCTATTTTTTCTATATTTGCTATAGTGGGTGAATGTTTCCTTGCCTGGAGGGCTAGTGGTTGGGTTTCCAGATACTGCCTGCCATATAAACGTTGTTCTTTCTGCTTGGCTGACTTTTTGTCCAAGGCCGCGTTGTTCAAAGCTAGGTTTAGATAACCTTGGGTTGGTGTGAAATTTGATTTCAGTTCTGAAAGCTTTAAAAAAAATTTGGTATAGTTCTTTTTGTCACCAATTTGATTATTGGATGCTCTAAAAAGAATTCACAAAATTATCCGAGAAAGGCTCTTGAATAGAGAAATAAAGAAACCTGGATTAAAATTTAACCCTTTACACCCTGATATCAGTTTTCATATTCTCCATACTGTTCTCTATACATTTCCTGAGGTGCTGACAAGGAGAATTTGTTGAACAATCAAAAGCTTCTTTAGTTGGTGATCATTTCCTTCATTCTCATGAACTTACTGCTTTATTCAGGGGTGATGCTGAAAGGAGAATCTAGATGTTAGTCACTTTTAGGGGTTAAAGGGTTAACACAGGGTTAGTGCTAATTGGCGTTTGAAGAACTGGGCCCAGGTTTTGTGTCCTGCTGTGTTCTTTGTGGTTATGTGAAATATCAATAAATCAATTTAATTTTTTTTCTTTTTTTCAGATAAAAGTTTCAATGTGGCTGATGTCTGGGTTCTTGAACAGTCAGGTGACAAGGCTATTGCTGGTAAGAAAACAGGTTCCTGCGCCTCTGTCACTCACACTAGTTCTTCCTGTTCTTGGTCTAGTTGTGTGAAGGCTGATTAGCAATAACCCACGGTTAAATATTAATTGGGGTTTCTTTATTCCTAATATTCAAAAGCATTTTTCCTATTCTTTTTAGAACATCCAGTCATCAAATTGTAGACAAACAGAATAGCCTTGAATTTCCTTTCAAAGCTTTCAGATCTGAAATCAGATTTCACACCGACCCTGGGTTATCTTGACCCAGCTTTAAACAACCTAGTCCTGATCAACATATTTTACAAACTTCGTTATTAGCCCTCAAACTCTTAGGTGTGACCAGGACAGAATTTCTCTTTACCATACCAATACAATATCAAGCAAACAAGTGATGAGAATAAAGAAAAATATAAACCAGGGGATTACAAGTTGATCCAATACCAAATTCTTCAATGAAACTAACTTGCCTAATATCATAACAATTATATTGCAGTGAGTAAGAAGTACCACTGAGATCTTGGAGATGAAAGGAGTAAATGTCTTAGTCTTGCTTTTAACTCAAATTAAGTATAACAAACAATAATTGATCCATAATTTCACCTAAACAGAGAAACCAAAGAACAGTTTGATCATTCCACTGGCAGTAGGACTTTGCCTTCTCTTCCTGTTTCTAGTTGCTGTCATATTCCTAATCTGCAGTTGCACAAAAAGGTACCATCATTGTTTGGTTTATACCAATTATTTAAGCATAGTAACAGGTAACAGTTATAGGCGTAGGGATTATCATATTTTATAAACCAAATGATAATGTCCTGATATGAAAGCAGAGTGTCAATGTAGTCTGTACCTTTGGGTCTCTGGACTTCCTCAAACTTTGGCCAATGATTAGAATAACCTGGACATATTATTCAGAATGCTTAAAGGAGCCATCCTAGGAATGTGCTTAAATTATTTCTTTAAAATCAAGGTATCGATTTAGTTACATAGTTATATTAACACCTTTTCTTTGTCATCTGTACATTTTTGTTAGTGTTAACATTTTTCCATTTGTTGGAAGAACCCCTCTGTAAAGCACTATTGTAGTGAAGTGGGTCTCCTGAATAAGGACTAACTAAAAATGATATGCTATGATGCTTTTCTAATGTTTGTTTTGAAGACAGAGCTACCCATTTGTTACAGTGGCAGATGGTGATATTGAGCTTACCAATATTGGTAACAACCAAGCTGTAGATTATAAAGAGAATGGGGAGTTGGGGGAGAAGCAATCTTCTGGTCAGGATGCTTCTGGCAAGGTTAGAGAGTAATTTACAGGAAAAGAAAAAAAGGAAAATTTGTTTAAGAAAAGAAAGACTTTTGGGCCACTGATTTATTCCATTGAGTTTCACAGTGGAGAGCTTGAATTAAGGGCTACTGAGTTACAACTCCCAGACTACCAAGACTGGTTTGATTCCAGTGGGTAAAACTTTTTCAACAAGATGCCTTCTGACCTTTTGCTCCAACTTATTGGTATTGCCATAAGCTGACATGGGTATAGATCTTGCAGTGCCACCCTCCTGCCTCTCTCCTTCCAGAAATACAAATGGTATGGGTGAATGGCCAGGGAAACCTGATAAAATGGCAAGGGAGGGGGGGGAAGGGGGTGGTAAATGAACAGTTTTTTCGCCTTCACATGATAGTCTTTAATATTTTTTTTCTTGTGTCTTTTCTTCCTTTAAAGATGACAATGAAAAATCCCCTCTATGAAAGTTCCACAAAGTGAAGAAGCTCAGAAACAAATCAGATATGTCCTGCTGATTGTCAAGAGGAAGATTTACCAACATGATCCTCACTTTTCATGCATAGGCAGGAATTTTCAAATTTGTGTAAACTCTGTAACCCCTAAGGGTATCTGGCATCTAATTTCTCTCTAGGGTATTAATGTTGAATCAAAATTAGGTTTATAAGAACTCGAGAAATGATAAAAAACTTGAAGAGCTCTTGATTGTTTGCTTAATTCTCCTTGTCGGTGCCATAGGAAATGTATAGAGAATGCTATGTATGGAGAATATACATGCTTGTGATAGAGTGTTAATATTGAAAGATTGCATATTAGTTTTGCTTCACTTTACTCTGCAAGTAATCTCTAGCACCAGAGACAATTCTCTTTTCTCTCTTATTTTTAGGATTTTATCAAATAAATGTGAATTTATCACTGGAAATATTGATAATATTTTTTAAAAAAATAGAATTGAATCAAGAAATTTAGTTTGTGCTTTTGTTGTATTCTTGGGTGGAGGAGATTACTGTTGCAGTAGACACTGTGTTAATACTGGTTACAAAAGAAATGCAGAATTGTTCTTTTATTTCAAACACTCACCAAGTAAGGGACAACATTCACATCAGAACAATATTAGAGAAAGCCACTATCTGCTGACAAGAAGCCATTTTCAGATATGTCATGGCATGATTGAACAAAATAAAAACAAATCAAAACCAAGAAGAAGACATTTCTTCTTAGTCAGAGTCTGAATCGTACTTCTCCATTCCCTTCTTGTGTTTTTCAACTGCTTCGCGATGACGACGGATGGCCTCTTCATGGTGTTGAATCTCCTTTTCATGATGATCCACTTGTTCTTCCAAATGTTTCTTCATTTCCTTTAGTTTCTCTTGTTCCTTTGAACAAAAAGTTAACAATTTTCAAATCCAACTTGTTTACCTTAACCCTTTAACTCCCTAGATCTGATTGTTGATACTTTCTCTAACTGCTACACATTTCCTTGTAAGTTGGTTACATGAATTTGGTTTTAGATCAAGGCAACAACTTCTACCTGATAACTTTGAGTATTCTCATTACCTGTTTGCTAGATAATGTATGGATATTATAGGGAGAAGTTCCATGTTAATCACTTCTGAGAGTTAAATGGTTAAAAGTAAATAAAGGAAACACCCTATATGGCGAAAAAAAGAAAGGAACAAGGTTTTGATGTGATGATCTTGCTAATTACTCTCCCTTTTAACTTCTTTAATATTCTTTGTGGATTAGTTAACCCTTTAACTCCCAAGGTCTCATTAGTAATTCTCCTTACTGTCTGCCAAACAGTTCTTGTGATGTTAGTTTGGAGAATTTGGTTTTGGATCAACTAATAGTCCCCTAATTGATATTTTTATTTATTCTCATCACTTGTCTGCTTGATACTGTGTTGATATTGTAAGGAGAATTTTTGTCTTGGTCACTCGTGGGAGTTAAAAGGTTAACCCTTTCACTCCCAAGATCTCATTATGTGATTCTTCTTACTGTCTCTCGTATGATTTGTTTGATGTTGTGAGATTTTGATTGGACATCAACTACCTATCTCCTTATTGATATTTTCTTTACACTCTTCACAAGTCTGGTTGATATTGTACTGATATTGTAAGGAGAATTTCTGCCTTGGTCATTCATAGGAGTTAAAGGGTTTTGTGACTTCTGAGTTACATCGAGACAACACCCTCTTCATAATACATGTAAATTGGTCCATTCTTATTTCTAGTTTCCCAGATATGGATATGTTAATTACCTCTGAAAGTAGAAAGGTTGCAATAAGTTATAAGTTTTCAGGAATTGCAGGTGCTACTATAATACTGTCACTGCAAATGAAAAACTAAAAAGGCTCTGGAAATTATCCAATTTTGAAGACCTACCTGCTTTCTGAAGTACTGTTCCTCATGGACATGCTCCATTTTTCCAAATGAACCACCAGCACTCCTGAAATTTATAATTTACATTTCACAAGTTGAGCAAATTATTTACAACGGATGGTATGCTGGTCCCATCACAGTTTTTAGGTTGGGACACACTTCAAGTTGGTGATCAATACTACAATATTGTGCAAGGATGAGTGGTAACAACACTTTGCTTCAACTGGAGAATCCTTTTGAATATCTATGTCTCTGCATTATAATTTTTCCCAGAACAAGTTGCACAAATTCATCACTCATTAATGCACATGGGTAGGATATATCAGCTGAGGTGAGCTGACCTGCTTTTTTGAAGCACTACACGTGGAGAAGTTTGTTGCAGACGTGCTGCAGTGACCTGTCAGCTAGTGTGCCATGTTATTTTTTTCTGAAGCATGTCTGTCAGGCAGAATGTTAAATACTCAAATCTGATAGGCAAATCACATGCTTGGAACTATGCCAGTTTGGGCAGTCTGCAATATTTCCATGCCACTAGGGGCAAGGTGGAAAAAAGAAAACCAGCAGAAAAAATGTAACTTATTTATTTACCAGCCTAGATTGGTCTGAATGAGACTAAACAAATTGTGCCACAATATTTTTGCCATATGGACCACCCAGTAAATAAAAAATCTATTTAAGCTACTGATGACTATTGGTGGCTAATCTCACCTAATGTCTCCTCCAGCTCCACCACCCTGAAGAGAAAAACATAAACAAACAACATTAATTTATTTGACTCACTGAAAATTTAAATAGGTCACACACTGGAAATTTCAGGGGGTGACACACTGGACATTTTGTCAGTGACATACTAAAAATTTCAGGGGGTGGTGGGGAGAAGTGAGCGTGACAAGGTAACAATTTGGAAAAAGTTGTCCAACCCAAATGGAGGTAACGGTGGAGTGGTCGCAAGGACCAAAGTAAGACCCCTCTATGGAGTAGGTATGGTTATTTTCCAATAAAACATAACGAACAGACGGAACGTAAGTTAACTGACAACTGAAAACAGAATGAGCCTTGTTTGTTTTAACAAAACAGCCCATCCACACCCAAGCTACCTATTTGGTTTTCAAAGTCTCTTGATCCCACAGATACTCCATCACGAATGCGTAACTTAGATGTAGAGCAGTCCATTGAGTCCATGTGCTGTGTGCAGGTTCGTAAACTCATTTACTTCGACTTAAAATGTTACGTCAACGCAAAAGCTAAATTATAATTGTGAAGAATTTTACAGTGCACGACGTCTTTTTCTCGACAACCGTTTAGAAATCAAGCTTCAAGAACGTGAAAATTTTAAGACTTTAGAAACTTTCCTCTCCTTTAATAAGCTAACGTGATATTACTTCGGTAAGTGTTATATTCGCGATGAGTTACATGGTCTGCGAAATTAGTTCAGGCATTTGTTCCAAAATTATCATTATCATCGAAAATATATTTGAAAATTACAGAAACACCAATCGAGTAGATACCTTTCCTACACCACCTCCTTTTTCTCCGACAGACATTGCCCTGAGTTGTAAGAACGGGGATGAAATCATCCGTCGCGAAAGTGCACACAATCGAACAGCCGCCATGTTGAATGGTTAAGAAAAATCGATTGTCAGCAAAGGATTGGGTTCTAGTAAGCCTAAGGTAGGGGGTTGGGCACCAGACGATTCTAGACCTACGGGGCAATTTTCGATGGAAGAGGCGAGGAGATTTTTATGATTTGCGTGGTAATAGCGCAAAATGTTCATTTTAAACAATAGCTATGGGTAGATGACGATGAAATATTTTTTCCTGTCTGATTGGAGGCATGTCTAGCTCAAGTAAACGAGAGGAAAATGAGGAGAAACTTTTGCAGTCGGCGCGTCGAGGTGATTTGGACACCGTACTTGTGAGTAAAGGTTTTATTGTTTTTATGCCTACTGAGCATTAAAATTACCGGTATGGCTTCCAACCGCTAGAAAACAAGTTATCGCTTGTTTTATTTATTTTGCTCTTCTGCGGTTTATTTGAAGCTATTCTCATCCTTGACAAATTGAATATGAAAAGCTTATCGATAGAGCTTAAAATTTAACCACTTTCATGTTTGTTCGTTCTGTTGTCTTTCTCACACGCAATTCACCGGAAGCGATAAAAGTAGCTTTTATGTAATATTTCTTTATAGTCTTCTAACGAAATCTCCACATGTGATCGCCTCTTCCCAAATAATTACCAAACGTGTCGTACATGCAACTTCGTGTAAATTGAATGTCGGTGTTTGTAATGCAAGCTGTTGCGTTTTGTAAGTGTAACATCACGAGACAAATTTATGATTGAAACATTTCCTTTCCATCGCCAAAATATTTACTGTGGCATAATGTAGTACACAGCATCGGCTGTACCTGTTGTGAAAATTTTTAAAGTTCAAACATGTTGAAATTTTCAAACAACGGACGGAATCACAGTTACTCAGCTGATATATAAACCGCCTAATCATGTCTGAGTGATGTTTTGTTCTCCAATGTTCACTTGATTACCAAAAAGGACTTGATTTTCAATAATTTAATTCTGACATTAACATTCTGTTTGCCACATGTATTGAGTATTGTGTTACAGTTTCACTGTGTAATTCTATATTTTTATCATCTTGGGGACATGCCTCTGTTTGCCATTCTATTTAAGAATGATGACATCGATCAGGTCATCTCAATTTGCCTAACCTTGGGTTAAGTTAACCCAATTTGAAAAATGGTACTTGGCATTCGCTATGTTGTCAGATTTGTGTGGGGACATTCTTACTTTTTAACTTGAAGAACCTTTTAATGTGCTCCAATGTAAACTTACTTAATTATAGACATTATTTTGAAGTTTGGAATTTAGTGGCTGATCATTCATGAACAATATTAAGTGTGAAACTTCTATAAAAAAAAAACTTCAGACATCACCAGCAATACTTCACCAATAAGAGTAGTTTGAGGAACAATATTCCACCAGTTTATTTCCTGTCTCACCCAGAAAAAAAGTAAAAAATTATTTGAACAACAACAAATAACATCAGTTTTGAACATAAATCATATTTGTTTCACACAAGTAAAAAAAAAAAAAAATTGAATACTTCTCTTACAGTGCTTTATTGGGTGTCTCATCCTTTATTTTAGAGTTTTCCTTAGCTTGATTATCTCTCAAGTTTTTGGTGTTCTTTACTTCTTATTAGAGTTTGTTGCAAGCTAAATCACCTGGCAAAAGTAGCTCTCGTTCAAGTATTGATGTGAACTGCAAAGGTAAGTTATATTGTGTTTCTAATGCTGTATATGATATAACTTAGTAGGTAAGTTAATGAGCAAGGTTTCACATGGAAGATGTCAAAAATAGAATGTACTTGTATTTGTGATAGTTCCTGCTTTGTAAGTGCTACTCTTGATTCCCAACTTTATATTTTAAATTGCTGTTTTAAAAAGGAAAACTTGACTGTACTTATAATTATAAACTCACTTGCAGCTGGGGCTCAAGATGTATATTGTACATTTTACACTTGAATCATAGTTAGCTAATATCTTTTAAGTTTTCACAATAACCCATTGCAAAGTGCTTTATTGAGACTTATGATATAAGTGGTGTAAGTTGTGTGTGTACCAAAAAAAATTGGCCTGAAAAAATGGAAAATGAGAGCAATGGCTGAAGTTACAAATTTAAAGCAGAGAATACAGATCAAAATTTTTTTGGACAAAGGTACATTTAGTGATGTTGAATTTCATTATTTGTAAACCAATAATTCAACAAGGGTAATATTTTAACCTTCTGACCCCTAGAACTGATTAACTTCTAATATCTCCTAATATTATCCCCATTGAATTAAATGTTAGGATCAAAGGATTAAATGAAATGATCTCCAACTAAAGAAGCTCCTGATCTTTAAACAAATCCTCCTTGTCAGCATGTTAGAAAATGTATAGGGAAGAGTAAGGAGAATCTACACATTGATATAAGGGTGTAAAGGGGTTTTAATCTTGGTTAGCTTACAAAGAAAGTTCTTTGTAGCTCAGCTGGTATTTAAGAATCTGATTGTGTAAGCAAAGCTGATGGAGTTCAACAACTTATTCTAGGGGTCTCAGATTTATTTTTTCACTTTGTGACCAATGTTAAGTGTCATTTTGTTTTTCAAAACAGAGAGAGTTTTCAGAGATTTTTAGTTGTTAAGTTTTTATCACTGTTTATCTGTAGGGAAATCAAAAGCAAATCAAGGCTGGACCCCTCTCCATCTTGCATCATACTTTGGACATTGTAATGTTGCAAAAGCATTGCTTGAGGTAAGTGGCAAGCCCATGCTTTTGTATTTGTTTGCAAGGTGCTCTTTTCTGTTTGAGGCATTACTAGGGAAGGGGAGGGGGGGAAGTTGAGGGGGGAAGGGGAGGGGGAGGGGGAGGGGGGAAGGGGAAGGGAAGGTGGGGTCCAAGTTTTGCAACTACATGGCCTTACTTATCATGGCTTATCCCTGATAACTGTCATGTGATGTGAGGAAGAATTTTCTCACTCCTTCTGTATGGAATACAAGCCCATGGCAGTTATCACCCACCCTTGTGTTAGGCTTCCCTGACAATTAACTGGAACTCATTCACACTCCTGAGTGGAGAGAGATACTGTGGGGGAAAAGTGTCTTGCTCAAGAGTACAACTTATTTACCCTTTAACCCTTAACACCCTAACATCAGTATGGATATTCTCCATACTGTTCTCTATACATTTCCTGTGGTGCTGACAAGAAGAATTTAAAAATAATTCAAATAGTACGCGTGCTCTGATTGGCCATAAAACCATTATACAGGAGTGTATGTAAACATGGTTTTCTTTCCTCTTTCATTAGTTATTTTATAAAGAAATGTAAAATGGTTTCTGTGTTTACATAGCCTGATGTAAACGCTTGGGAGCTTGGAAGAACACTCGATAAGCTGGAAACCACTCCGCTTTGCTTTGTGGTTTCTTATGCTTATCTCGTGTTCTCCCAACCTCCCGCGTGCTTACATCAGGCTATGTAAACACAGAAACCATTTTACATTTCGTCATTGTTTAACAATGAAGAACCTCTTAAGTTGTTGATCATGTCCTTTACTCTCATGACCTTAATGTTTGATTCAGAGGAGATAATGTAAAGAGAACTAGGATGTTAGTCATTCTTAGGAGTTAAAGGGTAAACCCCTAAGAGTGACTAGTATCTAATTTCTCCTTACAATGCCACGTCTAAATCATACTAACAAAGCTGTTGATTGTTACACAAATTTTCCTTGTTTACACCTTAAAGAAATTTATGGAGAACAGTATGGAGAATCTGCATAATGATGTTAGGGTGTAAAGGTTAACCCAGCCAGGTCTTGCACATGAACTTCTTAACTAAGAGTGCAGTATGTTGACAAGGAGGCCATCACATCCCTCATATTGAGATATTTTTTATTAAGAAATAGTTATGTTTTCCATCTCTTTAGAATGGAGCTGATGTCAATGCTAGAAATGGAATGGGAGACACTCCACTACACAGGGCAGCTTTCACTGGAAGAGCGGTGAGTTTTTGACATGGGACATTCATTCATGTACGGTACCACTGAGTAAGGAGAGTAGAGACTGAAATATTCTATCTTCTTGTGCAGTGGATAACTAGAAGAAACATTACTCTGACCAAATGAAATTTCCATTATTTGTCTTTTACAATTTACGTGGAGCAATAGGTGTTTCATTTTCTCCCTGTGGATGTCCATCAGAGGTTGATCTCCACCACTTTGTCAGGTTTCTTAAACCTTTACACCCTAACATCCATATTCTCCGTTCTCTTTGCTATAAGTTTCCTTTAGTACCAATAAGGAGCTTCTTTGGGTGGTGATCATTTCCTTTATTCTCATGATCTCAATGAATGATTCAGCCATAATACTGTAAGGAGAAATTAGATGCTGGTCACTCTCAGGGTTTACTCCTGGGTGAAGAGAGGCACTTTGTGAGTTGATTATCTTGCCCACAAAAAAATTACACAATGATGCAGTCAGGTTTGAATCAAGACCTCTTAACCCAGTCCCAGCTGGATGATTGTGTAGTGCTCACAGACAAGACACTTCTTACAGTAACTCTCTCAACCTAGAAGAATAAATTGATACAAGTGAGCTGTCTGGGAAACCTAAGAAAATGCTGGAAACACATACCTGTGTACCGACCAAAAAACCTATGAAATTTCAAGGCTTATCCTTGAGATTACGGAGACTAGTAACCTTTTAACCCTTTACACCCCACCATCAGTATCTATATTTTTCATACTCTTTTTTTTCACATTTCCTTTGTTACTGACAAGAAGAATTTGTTTAACAAGCAAAGGTTCTTAGGTTTGTCATTATTTCCTTTATTCTTGCGATCTTAAAGAATGATTCAGCATTGGTCACTCTCAGGATTTAAAGAGTTAAGAGGAATGCATGTTCATGAAGTGATATTCTTAGTTGCTTCATGCCACTGAATTAAAGAAAAATTTTGGCAGCTGTGTAAGTGTGTCTCTTTCTCAAACTTTCCCTTAATCCTATGAGTGTTGCTGTATCTTTTGTCAGGATGTGGTCACATTACTGATTCAGCATGATGCAGATGTTACTATCATCAATGGAGAGGGTAGAAAATCAAGTCAGGTTACCAACAGTGTAGAAGTTAAACAACTCATCAAAGGTTAGGATTAGTCTGAATGTATGTATGTATGTCTATATATATATATATATATATATATATATATAATAAGCTCAGTTATGCACACATTCTGATTGGTTCTCACTTATGATCTATTGGAGGACAGATGTATAGATGACGTCATCATTAAAATTTTTGCCCTCTGTTTTTTATTATATAAAACAAATAGATTCCAAGGTGCTGTGCGTCTGTTCAGTAATCGATCACAGAGGACATCAAAATGTGGTAAGAACATCAGTGACACACTCGGCTGTGCCTCGTGTGCCACTTTTTTGTTCTTACCACATTTTGACATCATCTGTGATCTATAACTGAACAGATGCATGGCAACTTGGAATCTATTTGTTAAATATACACACATGTGTGTATCATAGATGTACAGTGTAGTATTCCATAGCTACTTGTACTAATCAGCATGATGGCAGCCATGAAGGAGAGTTTGTTTTTAGAGAATTAACTGTTACTCACAAATTTAGGTAAAGAACTGCAAAATGTCCTAGTTAGCATAAAAAGAAAATTTCAGGAAATTAATTGAAAAATTTTGACAAAAGATGTGTTTGCAAAGTTAGTTATGGAAGTTTGTGCAGGAGCTCTCTTTAAAACAGAGCATGTGATGATTGTATGCATTTATTAATCCTAAATATTGTTAAATTCAACTTTCCATGCTTATAAGTGATCTCTAGGAGGCTATATTGCTAATATATATCTTTCAGAATGACAAAGATTTTGAAATATTTCACTTATCCTCCTAAGAGATCTTTGATAGTTTTTGAGAATTTTCAATAGTGTCTATCAGTCTCCCAGATTTTTTTGTGACTCAGGTGTTGATGAACAGTTCTACTCAACTTGTTATTTTCTGAAACTTTGTGAGCTGATAATTCTGATACCCACTAATTGTATTCTGATTTTGCCCCTGTTCAGCTGCAGAAAGGAGTCTCCAGCTGAAACTTGAGGAACATTTGCTCACAGCTGCAAGGGAAGGTGATACCTCAGAGCTGAAGAAACTGGTATGCGCATTGAAATCAAAATTGTCATGAAAAATGAGAATATACACATATGTACTTTTCACAGTGTTTATCATATCAGGTATTCCTTTTCCTTTGCATACCAGCTTCCCTTGTTAATGATCATCCATTTGCCCAAACCTTTGACTGTGGATGGAAGAGCACTGGGGGCTAGTTCATGTTCACTCTTTTGAATGACTTCTATGATTCTTGAAATGTCCTTGAACATGATTTGGTCTTTTACAAGATGCTGGGTCCTGTCAAGAATCTGATTGTATCTACCATAATGTCCCTAATTATTATAAACAACATATTGCAGTTTCCAGCCTTTCCTTGCACCTAGGCAGTTTGGAAAGCTGCAAAACAATAGAGCAAAAATTGGATCAATATCAGTATCTGGGCAACTGCCCACCTACCCCTCCCCTAACCCAACATTAACCCTAACTTGTTATCAATTGACTGTTGTTGAGTTAGGGGAGGGGTAGGTGGGCAGTTGCCTAGATACTGATATTGATCCCAAAAATTTATCTTCCAATTCAGTACTATTAATCCTCACGGTATCAACGAGCGCTCTTCATTCAACTGAAATATTCTTGTTTTCTCTTCACCCACCAATAGCATAGCTCTATTTTCTGCATATAAACCTCACAACCCACACTTCCTACAATTGCTGTGACAAAGGGCTAACGTTGAAAACGTCAGCCTTTTAACCCTTTTATGTTTTCAAATCAGCTGTTAACACTAAATTACTTGTATCTAACGTATCTAACATATATTGGAAATTACCTTTACAAGCTAGTGCTTGACCTCCTAACCAGACTGTGAAAGTGATGGTTTTCTATTTGATTGATATATTTTCAGATTGATAGTACAAATCCTCCAAATATTAACTGTCAAGACATGTTAGGAAACACTCCATTGCATTGTGCTGCATACAGGTACATTTTATTTACACAGTCTGTAGGTTAATTTAACCATTTAACTCCCATGAGTGACCAAGATGGAATTTCTCATAATATCAGTACGATTGCATAATATCAATACGATATCAACCAGATAAGTGACGAGAATAAAGAAAAATATCGATTTGGGAATAATTAGTTGATTCAGTACTATATTCTCTGAACTAACATTATAAGAACTGTATGGTTGATATTAAGGAGAATTACAAATTTGATCTGGGAGTTAAAGGGTTAACAATGAGATTCCATGTTGTCGTGAATCTGTTCAGTAATATATCATAGATAGCGTCAAATGTATTAAGATCAAAGAAGTGGCGCGTGAGGTGCATCTGGGTGTATCTCGATGTTTTTACCACATTTTGAATGCTTCTCTGATCTTTTACTGTACAAACCCGTGGAATCTATTTGTTTTATATGATGAAAGAAAAATGTTGATAATTGTGACTTCATATATGCGTCTGTCCGTTAATAGATCGTAAGTAACAACCAACTAGAATAGGAGTATCATTTAGCGTATCTTGCCATCAAAATTGTATTCAAATATTGAAGTCTTCGAGTCCCTTTCAACTGAGTGTTACAAAACTTATTGAAATCTATGACAATGGAAAATTAAAACCAAGTTTCACCTGTGTGGGGTGAATTTCACAAGCAACCAACGATTATGAGTTATCAATGTAAGCCCTTGTTATCTTGACTGCTAACAAGCTACATTATTTGTCTGGCTATTCCTAAGTTGCTATCGTTTTGGAATTTTTAATTTCTTCTTCAAAGGCTTTAAAACTAACGGCAATGGAACTTTCTGAAAAAAAAAAAAAATTAAAGAAACATAGAGGATGTCAGGTTCAAGTTCCTTGTAAGTGATCGCAACCTTTGGATGGAGCTTTCTAAAGATTAACCCTTAAAGGATGCATGTACCTATATAGTACTGTTCAGTGCGAATATAGGAAAGATTGGTTAAATTCCTTTCCTAATATACGTGTGTAAACAAAGCTGTTTTTTTTTCTTTAACCACTACACATGAATTTGGTCTTAAGAGTTTTAGTTTGGCGATAGAGAATAGGGGAGGTGTAGAAAGACTGAGTTTCAAGAACACCATTTTTTTTGTCAGGGGACACAAAGTGATTGCAGTCACACTTTTACAGCACGGGGCAGACACCACTATCAAAAACAGCAATGGTAAGAAAATGAATGGGTCATTGCTTTGTGTGTTACATGATAGGGACCTTAAGCAAACCACGATAGCGGCGGCAAGAGGACGTGGCAAAAAAAAAGATCTAATATGCAGCACTTGCGTTTTAAAAGAGTTTACATTTCTTCGCCGTCCTCTGCAAAATAAAAACTTGAAATCATAAAAAATTTGCGTGGTCTGAGAAAGGAAACCCCGACGGCAAATTATTGAAGTTTCTAAACGGAGCTCATCACTACTCACATACATTATTCTGAGGTTAACTTTCGGCTAAGAGACTTCCGTAAGAGACGGTAAACGCATCCAGCCGTTTACGAAATTCGATCTTAAAATGCACATTAATTGTTTAATAGATGTCTCCCTTGGCGTCGCCTTCCAAACTGCTCAGGGTCCTTATTATTGATTGAGGGCAAAAAAATATAATTGTACACATGTACTACTGTTTAGAATGATAGTCGTTTACCCCCCCCCCCCCCCCCCCCCCCCCCCCCCCCCCTCCCCCTCCCCAACTCCCAAGATCTCTGATGTTAATTCTCCCTTCTAGCTGCTACACATTTCCTCGTAAATTAGCTAGGAGAATTTGGTGTTAGATCAAGATAACAACTTCTACCTGATAAGTTGAAGTATTCTCATTACCTGTTTGCTGGATAATGTATGGATATTATAGGGAGAAGTTACATGTTTAACACTTCTTGGAGTTAAAGGGTTAACGGCGTATTTGTAAAACTTAGGTCAGACAGCCTTGGATTTAGCCACTAACAAGAAAATGAAACAACTGTTGGATGTTCAACCACTGCAGGTTTGTATCAAGCAGATCTTGTTGATTTGGATAGTTTTTTTCGCATACAGCATGTGGTTTCCTGGTTTCCTGTTTTCAACCACTGCAGGTTTGTATCAAGCAGATCTTGTTGATTTGGATAGTTTTTTTCGCATACAGCATGTGGTTTCCTGTTTAAATTAGGTCCCTTTGTAATAATACGCACTTTGTAGACTCCAGAAAGATGTAGCTTGAAAACTTTATTACCACAGCGCAATACCGATATTTCGGAAATTGGTCTGAATTCTTGGAGAGTTCGAAAAATAGGGAAAGAGCTTGAAAAGCTAATTATAGTTTGAATTATTGGGAGCGTCGAGAAACCGAGAAATGGAGATGTCGAGATTCTACCATGATACTACTATAGAGCAATTTGCGATAACGAAAATCGAAGGTGATGAGAGATTGTACTGCTTCTTGCTTTAGTATATACTTATGGAGTCCCAAAACTCGTTTCAATCTCTCAAGTTATCATGCAGATGAAAAATTTTCACCTCTCTAGTCAATTTCTTTTTTCCGTAAGGTGTATTTGACGAGTGCTTTTTAAAATTCTAGATTAAATGAGAAAGTTAAAAAGGAAAAAATATCATTTGTCAAAACTTGTTGCCAGATAAATTTTAATGAGATTATAGATAAATCTTTTGGATCATCTCTGAAACAGAAACTTCACAAGGTGGTGTCAAGACATGAAGGTGCCCTGCTCAAGGTGAGATACTCCGCATTAGTATAAGTGATGCGAATTTAAACAGTAGCTGCGCTAAACTGACTGGAATTCATCGTAAATAACCAATTCATTGTGGACAACCCTTATACTATCGGAACAGTTGATACTTAAGTCGAATTTACCTAATAGCCTGTAGTATTTGGTTTTTTTTGTTGTTGCATGAAGTGTATCATTTTCTTTGGTCCGAAAGTCTTTTTAATGTTCGCAGCGGTCCCGGTTCTTTGGGTGGAAGAAATTCTGGGTTGTCCTAGAGAGAGGTGTACTTAGCTATTTTAATAAGAGGTGAGTACTTTACAGTGGACTGCATCCTTCTAAATGGTTCGAATTAATTTTTTTAATGGAATTTGACGGAATCGAAATTTAAATTTTTGAAAAGAGAAAAGGTTGTTTTTTTTTTTTACTTGAGTACGTGTCAAGTGCGCGTGAAATTTTGTACCGGAACGAAAGTAACGCTTTAATTCTCACCATAAAAGTGCTGAGAATATCTGTGGATTTGCAAGAGGATAGATGCAAAGGGCAAGAAGTAACTATTAACTTTACAGTATTTTCTAGATTTGTGCGTCACACAAGGATTCAAAATATCTTGACTTTGCTTTTCAGAGTTTTTAAATCGTGGTAAAAATTGACACCTTTTGTTTTACTCAGAGCTGATGCAGCGGCGAGTGTGAAGAGACAAGGTTATAGATATTTAGACCGCTGTAAATTTTCGGTAAGTTTGTTGAGCAATCTTTCTTACTTCGTGATTATTGTATTGTGTATCTCTGTAAGCCTTCGTTTGTGTAGGTAGTGTCCACAATCTCCGAGCAACAAAATATTCTTTTAAAACTTCTGCAATGTTTTGTGTGTAACTGCATCGTCTTTGCGTCCTCCTTTGTAGGTACCTAAGGACGAGAAGCACAAAATTAAAATCCATTATTCAGATAATACCGTTCAGATCTGGAGCATTCCACCGAGTGAAAAAACTCCGCAAGTCCAACGCCAGGTCTGTATCGTTAAATCCTTTTTCTAAGCCTTTCTTATGGAGTAGGTCTGGTTTTCACGGTGGCCTTCCCTTTAACTCGTTCTCCGCTATTTCGCTTTGCATTTCACCTTGAAGCGAAGAATTCCACGTCTGGGAGTTTTTGTAGCCTGCGCGCGGGCCCTTATTTATCAGCGGTACGACTCGAGCGTGTGTTCGCCTCATGTATGAGGCCTTGAACAACGTAAGTAAGCATGAGGTCTGCAAGGGGTCTAGTAGTCCCAGATCCTCGGCAAATTAGCTCGCAGGCTAGAACTTTTATTCCTCTGTTACTAGTGTCGGATGGGCCTCAACAGATAGTTGTCTTTGGTCTCGCTGGCAACCATGTTACAGGAGCTTCCAACTGGGTGTCACTGGGATTCCGGGATTGCTTTGCCATGAGCTGTCATTAGTCAAGAAACTCGCGCCAAGCGCGACTCAGGAGCCTATGAAATCCGGTCGGTAGGGCAAAGAAGAACTGGCTTCGACTGAAGCGAGGGGTGGGACGAGGGGGTTGAGTGGGGGTGGGGGTGGTGGAAGGGGAACGTGACTTGTTTGCTGAAGATTTCCCGTGCTTGAGAAAAATGGGAATGGCTTTATCCTGAGTTCCCACCGACTTCATCTTAAATTTGCTTCTTGTTTGCGCTGTGTGACTGGTGCGGCTATTAAGTATTTTTCTTTCGACATCCATGGAAAGGCATTGCACTGCTCCAGCCTGTCGATACATCTACTACCCCTTTCCATTCTGTTCTACGTCTCTATACATTTAGCATGTAGTGCCACAGGTTGCCTTTGAACGGCGGCCATCAGCCTCCAGTGAAAGCCTTAGTGAAAGTTCATTTTAATCTGCATTCTCATTCTAGCGATGGTTAAACTCTCTGCACGAGCACTGCGCCTATAGCACTTTTTACACAACTCAACCCACAGTACTAATTGATGATCAAGAACAGGATGTGATACCGTTGGGGAGCATGCAGGATTCGCTAAAGGTGAATGATCAACCTTTTAATCCCTAAGATTGACCAGCATCTAATTTCTCCCTACAATATTACTCCTTGAACAAACATTAATGACACGAGACTAAAGAAAATGATCACCAACTCGTGAAGCTCTTGATTTATAAACAAATTCTCCTTGTCAGTATCTTAGGAAATATATTAAGACCAGTATGGAGAATATGCAAAATGACGTTAGGGTGTTACGGGTAAGGTTTTAACCTTGAAGAATAATTTAACCGACACGTGTATTGCTGATACACAGAGCGCTCGTGCCCATCAGCAACTTCTCGACGAACAAGTTGGTGGAATAAATAAGACAATTGCAGACGTATCCGACTCGTATTCATCGGAGTCAAATTCTAAAGGTGAGACACAGGTTATGAGTCACGCAGTGCATCCGTCGCAACACGCGTGACAACTCGCGGTAAAAGCCACTACACGTAAAGCTTCCGAAAATTCGTAACCGTGACCCCTACTCCCGAGTCCTCTTTGAAAAATTCCAGCTACGCCCTTGATGTGACAAGCCCCCTTCACACTCTTCGCATCAGCAATGTCGAAAACAACGATTATGTAGTGCAATATGAGAGAGAGTGGTGGATTGTTGACGAGGGATCAGATTTTTTTTCTGTGACCCGCGGTCTTGACCAAACGAATTTATTCATTTGGAAATTGATGTTAAGAAGACGTTTTCGCTCGTTTGATGTATGCTGTTTGTTTGTTTTTTTTTTCTATGGCAGGAAGTTTAGTGAAAATCAGCGAGAAACTCAACGAGGTGGTAGCGACAGCTCGTAATATGTGTAACGCTCTGACTCACTGTTTGGATTTACTGTCACAACAAGAGGAGGTACGATCGGACAGCGGAAACATTCAGAAATCACATTTAACTTCACGTAAATTACGTTATTGATCCTACCTTTGAACAAGTGAAATCATAGCTGCCATTTTGCCGTCTGTGTGTTCGGTTAATGAACATGGACCGAGTAATAATACAGTTGGGACGAAAAGGTGGAATCCTTTGTGATCGTTCTTAATATTGACCGTCTGTGAGCCGTTTCATTTTCGTAGTACTTTATAATTCATTGTTATATTGATTTCATTTTCGGTAACCGTTCCTATTCGAGTGTAAAATATTTTATTTTCTATAGTGATCACTCCTTTTGCCATACGTGGCAGTCTCGTTTAATCCCAAAAACCAGAATGTATCACATGTATTATTACTGAAATTTAAGTCAAGAACCCGACAGTAAAATTTGATCAAGATGGCGATCTTTGGCGGCGAGAAATTCTCGAAGACTTTTTGAATATCCTTGGGCGATGTCTTCGCTGAAACGTTTCGCGTTTTCACTTTAAAGGGAAGGTTTTTGTAATAATTAAATGAAAGATTTGATAACATCGATCAAAACAGATACGTTGAGAAGAAAGAGCTATTCAACGCGGTTGCATTGTGGTTTTAGTTTATAAAACTTACTTCCGGCAACTGCCGTGTTTACTTGGTGTCCTATTATTACCTGTCAGCGGTTTTAAGCTGGGTTTATGTTAATTACGTCTTCAGTGTGGACGTTTTGTCAGTAGCATCTTCTTGCTTCGTTCTCGCTTAATTCGAAATTTCAGGTGCGTCATCTTAGATTTGAAGAAGAAGTAGAGAAAAGAAGAGTCCTTGAGGATGCTCTTCACGTCTTGGCGACAGAACATCATGCTTTGGAGTGCTCAATTGGAGCCCACGAGGTAAGATCTCGCCGTTTAATTTTGCCATCGCGTATTCTTCCCTCTTCAAAGAATTTGCATTACATTTGCATAGCTGTAGGTGTTTGTCAAAACCCGCGTTAGGCCATTGTCTCTGGGTGAAAATTTGTGTTTATTTCTGGCGTTTTTAAATTGGTTTTTTTAATTTTTAGCCAATCGGATTTCTGACTTGTCCTTTAGCTTAGATGTCAAGTTGTTTGTGCGGTTTTCTGGCTTTCCGATTGGCTTACAACTTTGAAAATCAACAGAAAATGTGTCAAATAGATTTTAAGGAAAATATGTTTCGCTCAGGCGAATTTCACGAGCGATCGCTTTTAAAAAGCTGTATTTGTGTAAGGCGATTAAAATTCACCTTCAAATATGGAGGTTATATTCAAGAAAGGTTTTAATCCGTGAAAAGATGGCAAATTTTAGCATTGTTATCTACTTTTATTTAAGGATCGGTTGTAGTCCTATTGACCAGTTTTAGTGATCTCTGACATTTTTATATGTAAAGTGTATTTACACGACATGATCTGATGAAATCATGATAGGAAAAAATCATTTAGGAATAGAATTTATACGGATGACTTCCTCGGTCGTTTGATGCGAAATCGGAACGAAATGAATCCGTTTCTTTGCTGTAATGAAATTGATGGATTAGTTTTGCCGTATCGAATAAAAGTTTTATCAGTGGAGTAAACGAGAAATAGAAATTCTAAAGAAAGAGATAATTGAATGAACTGAAGCGCTTCATGTTTAGTCGTCAAACGGCGAGAAATCTTGTCCTGTTGGTTAGGTCAATATTAGTTTCATATTATTTTTATACCTAGCGTTCTTAAATATCATAACTATTTTTCACATTACTGCTTTGATTTCTGGTTGACGTTCCGTGATGAATTATCTTCCAAGCTTAGGCATCTTTTTGACTAATTCGTTATTCAAATGCGACAAGTATTCTTTCCAATGAGACTTGTGTGAAATCTGCCAGACTCTCTCTCGAATTATCATTTTCAATAACAGCAGAAAAAAGTTAACATGATTAAACTTGAGTTATGATAAATACACGGAACACTATGAAATGTGGTTTTGGTATTTTCTTATTCGCGTCTTAGGAATATTTTTTCGGTCATTACAATCTGTCATGAGTTGAATCTTACGTCCACGGGCCAACGTAACCAAAGACAAATAATTCCAGGTAAAAATCTTGTTCTAGAATGGCATTTATTGACTGAACGTTTATCCTAAATTCATTCGCCTTCATTTGAACGTCTCAGTTGTACTGCTTAGAGTATTTTGTTTTAAGAGATATGAATTATGAATGATGAAAATAGAACACAGAATCCATTTTGGTAATCAAAGTTAATATCATTTCAAACGCAGTGCTAAAGAAAGAACACGTCAGGAGGATTTATTGCCGCGATTTTCGATATAGTATTACAACAAACAGTCCGATGGAATTATTCACTCTCAGAATCAATAAACCCCCCGAATATCCCTGCAATATTGATGCATTATCTCCCAAACGGGTTGTGAGAATGAACAGATAAACATATTAACCACAGAGTTTTGTCTTGGTAAAACACTACACCATTTCGACTTATTTTTCAAGGACATGTTTGGCAGGTTCAAAGGAGAATTGAAATATTAGCTTCTCAGTCGAATGATATTCGGCGATATCAGCCAGTCCATTAAGTTTACGCGTGTTTGCGTGTTGTGGTAGCCCAATATTCATTTTGACTTAGAGATTAAATTCGTATTACCAAATTCACTGACGCGTGTGTTCTTAATTTTCCATTGTGTACCCTAATGACATATGTACTGTCTACTCATTAGAGCATGGTAGAAATTTTCTTCTCAAACACACTATAACCAGTCCGTCGAAGTTGTTTTAGAGAATTAAGTTTGCGTGCCAGTTGTACGTTCATTGAGACACAGAGCTCGTTAGGAGGTTTACAGAGCACTCAAGGAGTAAGAATTGCTCTCGGCCGCGCCTCAAGCTTGTTTCATGCTCTATAAACTTCTCATGTGCTTCATATCCTGATGAACCCAAAAAGATCACGCCGGTTCTGCGGTCTAGAACATATGTTGAATACAGCAGCTATTTAGATTTTTAAGATTGAGGAAAGCCTGAAGCGATTACAAAAACTTACTGAGGAGGTGGTAGTAAGAAGAGCGAAAATGGTGACTGGGGAGGAGATTGGAAAAAAATCTTTCTTTCGATCCCTTCTCCCTGACTAGTTCTTTGCACCTGCCGGCCCCCCCCCCCCCTTGATCTCGAGTTCTCAACGGCTAATGATCAAGTTAACTTTTGTTTTGATTGGCTATTGAGGTTAGTTTGATTTTGGTTTTCGACAATCAAACAGAAACTGCTCTACCGCTAAATTCTCCTCACGTCTTTGCAAAGAAATGGTTGGCAACCAAAAGAGAGAATTGTTATCGTGATATTGAGAGATAAAACGGTAAGCACGATATGATTGTTTTTTTAATTTAGCAGTTCATTCATGGAAGTCGCATGACCCTGACGAGTGATTGTAACGAAGAGTTTTTCGATGCAAGATCGGACGTTGGTTGCCCTCTTCCAGACGACTTGCTCTCGGATGACGACAGCGACGATGGCGACGAGTACGTACCAAGTGTAGCAACCCTTGAAGCAGCAGGGCAAGAGGTTCAACAGAATCACGTTGAAACAATTGTCGTACCTAACACTAGTACCAATAGTAACAATATTAAGAGGGCAACTTCTGGAAGAAAGCTGGGAAATTTGAACAGACTTTCGTTGACGAGAAGTACGTCCGATACAAATATTGCAGCCAAATCGGAAATTAGGCATTTGCTAGATTCTGAAAGTCTGCAAAAGTCGAAATCTGCCTCCAGCGACATGGAGCAATCAGCGGCGCTGTACAGGAAACAAGAAACTGAGAAGAAAGCGAATGGCAAAATGCGCCACAGGTATTGTGTGCTGTGTTAGAATCCATGTATAATTACGTACGAATTAGAATTGTGAGATCCTTGTCGTGGAAGGAGTATCATATGCCTTTTTTTTTTGTTTTTTTTTTTTGCCTAGTAGCTTTCATTTAAGTGATTTCATCGTACAGTACACGTTTATGTTGGAACACCTTGAACAGTGAAATGGGTTGTACCATACATGAAAGTATTGCTTGGGATTAGTTTTCATCTAAATGGTAACACATCAGGGTTACTTTTCTTCCTTGGCGAAAACGTTGGAACCACTTTTT